GTGTGGGCAGCCAAGTTGGGATTGGCGGAGGAGGACTATAAAGGAGGAGAGAGACGGCATGCACCAGGAACATCTATGGGGAACATCTAGCTGAAGGAACACCTGTGCAGCCCCCGAGAGAACCGGCCGGCGGTGTGCCGCTCCCCTGCGGAAGTGGGGAATGTGGCCAGGGGGAACTGCCCTTCCACGGAGGTGGAAGGGATAGTAGCCAACCTGGGAAGAACCAGCAGCAAACCTGGGGAAGGCCGAGCAGACGAAAGAACAGCGCAGGGTTCAGTGTTGCTCCTCCACGAAGAGGGGGAGCGACATAATGGTGCCGTGACTCGGATACGAAGCCTAGGCAGGGTTTAGTGTCGTTCCCCCACGAAGATGGGGAGCGACATAATGGTGCCGTGACTCGGATAGGAAACCTAGGACGGATAGGAAACTTAGGAGGAAAGAAGCAGGAAAATACCGGAGAGAGAGACTAGCAAAGAGCCTAGGTGCCGGAAGAAGCTATTGAAAGCCTAGGCAGAGACTCGGATATGGACTGTGAGAAAGAAGTTAGGATTTAAAGTGAAAGCAAGAAGAAACTTAGACTCAGATACGGACTGCAGGTTGAAAGTGAAAGTGAAACCTATAAGAAACTTAGACTTGGATACGGACTGTGGGGAGAGGCCAGGAGAAATGAGGGAGGAATATTGTTGGAAGAAAACTTAGGGAAACATACCGGGTAGAGAAAAATGTTAGGGAGGATGAAGCCGCGAGTGCAGGCCGAGGCGGAGATATAAGCCACCTTGGAATTCTTCAAGTCACCCCGGGGAGCAAGAGGCGAAGATCTGGAACCAGAGACGTGGGCCGCCAGGTTGGGATTCGCCAGGTTAGTCCGGGGAACTTGGACTGAATGCCGGTAGTGGCGGAAACATTCGCTGAAGCCGCCACGTGCAGAGAGAGCACGGGGCGTGAACAGATAGGAAACGCGAGGCTGGCGCAAGGCCGTGGTGCGGGCGCGAAGTGCGTGGAGACCGCGGAGCATGCGCGCAGAGCCGGGAACCCGCCGGCGGGGCGAGGCGCCGGGAAGCCGCGCAGAGCCGTGAAGCTGCCGCGGGGCGAGGTGCCGAGAAGCAGCCTCGGGGCGAGCGCCGCCGGGAAGCCGCAGGGATAAGAGAAACAGAAGTTTAGAAGTAAAATGAGAGAAATAGGAATGCTGGAAGATAGAAGTAAAATGGGAGAAATAGGAATGCCCGGAGATAGAAAAATAGAGAAAGAGAAAGGCCTCCCCACAATACTACAATGTGAGAGCTTGGATTCGGTCTGCCTGATTAAGTGAGGCGATGAGCACCTGCGGGGCTAGCAGCTTATGCGCCGCAGGTCACCGAAGACAGGCACGAATTAACATCAGTAAGGCTTCCCCACAATACAACAATTAGGAGGCTTGGATTCGGTCTGCCTGATCAAGGCGGTAAGCACCAGCAAGCAGCTCGACCAGAGTATGAGCTGCAGGTCACCGAAGATAGGCACGAATCAACACTAATAAGTCTCCCCCACAATACGGCAATGAGAAAGCTTGGATTCGGTCTGCCTGATTAAGGCGGTAAGCACCAGCAGGCGGCTCGACCAAAGTATGAGCCGCAGGTCACCGAACACAGGCACGCATCAGCGCCTAAAAACCTCCTCACAACATGGCGAAGAGAGGACCCGGATTCGGTTTGCCTGTTGATAGGACTTGTAAGAACCTGTGGCAACTCTAGCAAGTAGAGCAGAGTGTGTGCCGCGGGACACCGAAGACAGGCGCGTATCAACGCCAAAAATAAAAAGAAAGGGGGATCTGTGGGGAGCAATCTGGACTGGACTAAGTTACTGGAATTAAGACTTATTCTATGCATCTGCTCTCCCACAATATGGCGCTGGGAGAGAAGTAAACAGCTTCCGCACAGCTGCCTCCAGTTCAACCAATAAACTGTAGGACTTGCTACTGATTGGAGGAGAGCAGCGTACTCGGCGTGTGGGCAGCCGAGTTGGGATTGGCGGAGGAGGACTATAAAGGAGGAGAGAGACAGCATGCACCAGGAACATCTAAGGGGAACATCTAGCTGAAGGAACACCTGTGCAGCCCCCGAGAGAACCGGCCGGCGGTGTGCCGCTCCCCTGCGGAAGTGGGGAATGTGGCCAGGGGGAACTGCCCTTCCACGGAGGTGGAAGGGATAGTAGCCAACCTGGGAAGAACCAGCAGCAAACCTGGGGAGGGCCGAGCAGACGAAAGAACAGCGCAGGGTTCAGTGTTGCTCCTCCACGAAGAGGGGGAGCGACATAATGGTGCCGTGACTCAGATACGAAGCCTAGGCAGGGTTTAGTGTCGTTCCCCCACGAAGACGGGGAGCGACACTTAAGTTTGGAATATTCTGTAAGTCTGGGCTTGAAATTTTGCTTGTGGCATCTGTTCATTGCTTGTTTTGATTTTTCAAATATTAATCCACCTTATTTAATTTATATAGAAGTTTCCTATGTTATGCTATACTTATGTTTTAGCTAATTGATTAAAAAAATAGAAATCATATGCAACAAAATGGATGGAACTGGTGGACACCATAAGTGAAATAGGTCAAACCAGACAAATACTGCATGTTTTCCTCACTTGTAGGGTTTTAAAAAAAAACTCGGTCTGAACACAGAATGTTGATTACTTAAGGCTAGGGGTGAGGAGGGAGCAATAGAGAGAGTCTGAACTAAAAATAAAGGGGGGGGGTGCGGCGCTGTGACACAGTGGGTTAATGCCCTGGCCTGAAGCGCCGGCATCCCACGTGGGCGCTGGTTCGAGTCCTGGGTGCTCCACTTCCGATCCAGCTCTCTGCTATGGCCTGGGAAAGCAGTGGAAGATGGCCCAGGTCCTTGGGCCCCTGCACTCATGTGGGAGACCCAGAAGAATTTCCTGGCTCCTGGCTTCGGATTGGCACAGCTCCAGCTGTTGCATCCAACTGGGGAGTGAACCATCGGATGGAAGACCTCTCTCTCTGCCTCTCCTCTCTCTGTGTAACTCTGCCTTTCAAATAAACAGATCTTTAAAAAATAAAATAAATAGGGATGGGCCAGCACTGTGTCGTAGCAGGTAAAGCCACCACCTGCAGTACCAGCATCCCATATGGGCACAGGTTCAAGTCCCAGCTGCTCCACTTCTGATCCAGCTCTCTGCTATGGCCTGGGAAAGCAATAGAAGATGACCCAAGTCCTTGGGTCCATGCACCTCCATGGGAAGAACCAGAGGAAGCTCCTGGCTCCTGGCTTCAGATTGGCACAGCTCTGGCCGTTGCAGCCAACCTGGGAGGGAATGAACCAGCATATGGAAGACCTCTCTCTCCGCCTCTCCTTCTCTCTCTGTGTAACTTTTTCAACTAAATAATTAAAAAAAAAAAAAAGAATTTCATTACACGCAAAGAAGTGAGGGAAGAAACAGAATCTGTAGCTCTGAAGTAGGACTCATGGTCTAAGTTGCCACTTGGTATATCTGTGCCCATATCAGAGTGCCTGGGCTCAAGGGCCAGCTCTGCTTCTGATTCTGGCTTCCTGCTAATGTGTATTCTGGGAAGTAGAGTAATTCAGGTAACTGAGTCCCTGCCCTGCCACCCATGTGGGAGACCCAGATTGAATTCCTGGCTCCCAGCTTTGGCCTGTCCCAGCCTTTGCTATTTTGGGTATTTGGGGAGTCAACGAGCAGATGGAAGATCTCTCTCTTTATTTCAAATTAAAAAAAAAAAGAAAAAATTTTAAAAATAAGTAAAACATGAATTTTCATTTGTAATTAAAGATGTTTCCAAGTTCACAGGGTCCAGAGAAGTTTTGATGGCACAAGTTATCATCAGGGTGGTTTATGGACTCTGATTGTACTTAAGAAATCTAATCTTTTTAAGGGTACAGGAGCTGGCCGGCACTTCGGCTCAATAGGCTAATCCTCCGCCTGCGGCGCCAGCACACCGGGTTCTAGTCCCGGTTGGGGCGCTGGATTCTGTCCCGGTTGCCCCTCTTCCAGGCCAGCTCTCTGCTGTGGCCCTGGAGTACAGTGGAGGATGGCCCAAGTGCTTGGGCCCTGCACCCCATGGGAGACCAGGAGAAGCACCCGGCTCCTGCCTTCGGATCAGTGCAGTGCTCTGGCTGCAGCGGCCATTGGAGGGTGAACCAATGGCAAAGGAAGACCTTTCTCTCTGTCTCTCTCTCTCTCACTGTCCACTCTGCCTGTCCAAAAAAAAAAAAAAAGGGTACAGGAGCTAGGAGAGCGGCAACAGGTAGAAGCACTTGTGATTTGGTGAGTTTCTATCTGACCCTTCCAGTTTAGCATAATAACAACCAACATTAGTAAGTAGGACAAAGTAAAATACCACCAGGCAGGTGTTTTCACAGCAATACATCATTTATTTCCCACATCTACCTTTCAGGTTGCTTCCGTTACTCCAAAGTTTCTGCATATTGATGCCATTGACATTGAGGCTCATTCATGCTTTGCTGTAGGGTGTTGTCTTGTGTTCTATAAAACCTTTAACAGAGTCCCTGACTCTGCCCAGACCAGAGGCCAGCAGCATGCCTGGCCCACCACACACCAGGTTATAAAACTGTCTCATGACACTGACAAACATCCCCTGCTGGCTAAGTTACCCCCAGCTGAGAACTGCTCCACCACAGAAGGGGAAACAAGGTAAGAGAGGCAGAGGCTGAGTAACTTAATTGTTCCCAGGTCAAACAACGACAACATTTAAATGTAGTTTCTTTTGACTCCGTGAGTTTTCAATTTGTGTGTACATTAGAATCATCTGGGGAATTTGTGAAACATTACTGAGACCCACTCCAGACTGAGTAAATTAATTTCTCTGAGGTATTGGTATTTTTCAAAACTCCCCAGCACACTCTAAGGAAGTCTCTCAAAACCTCCACACCAGAGGCTGCAGCAAGGCAGCCAGCAGGGAAACCTCAGCCTCTGCCCTCCGATCTTCCCTCGGCCCAGCCTGTGGCTGAGAAACCCCAGCCTTCCCCAGCTAGGCAGTCAAGGGCTGTGGCTCTCACAGTTGATCTGTCTCCCAGAGAACAAGGAGAGGCATTCAGAGCGCACGTAAGTTGGTACTCACAGTGCGGTGGCTGATCCACTGGCTGTGGCGGTACTCCAGAGTTCCCCCCAGCTCCTGGGTCAGCTGGCTTCTGTCAATGTAGCTATGCAGGTCAGAAATGGAGTTTAACATGATGATCTGGAAGGGAGAAAAAGTAACTAAACAGACTCCTCACAGATCATTACAAAGCTCCCTAGGCTCTGCTATTATTTAAACAGTGCTTCAACGTTGCCTTGCCTGGCATCTATAACCAAAAGACGGTTACCATAGCCAGCAGAGACTTGAAAGTCTCTCTCCATTTTTCCCTTTCGAACAAGGAATACCCACGAGACGCTGCAGCGCCAGAAAATGGTAATCTGGGTCAGGAAGCTGAGTTCCATGCCACCTAGAAGTCAGGTCTTGCTTTAGGTGAAATTTTTTCAAAAGTTCCCAAGCAATGGTATACTCTTTAGCTACTAAAACCATGTGCCTGCCAAGGCCTAAAAATCTGGAATGAGAAGCCCAATAAAGAGTAGGCGGGTAAATATACAAATAAAATTAGAATACATGGGCAAAAAGGGTATGCACTGAAAAGACTGGGTGCAGGCATTTGGCATAGCAGTTTAGATACTTCTTGGGGTACCTACATCGCATATCAGAGCACCTGGGTTTGAGTACCAGCTCCACTTCCAATTCCAGCTTCCTGTTAATGCACACTTGGAGAAGGCAGCAGGTGATGGTTTCATACTCAGCTCCCTGCCACCCATGTGGGAGATGTGGATTGAATTCCCAGCTCCTGGCTTTGGCCTGGCCCAGCTCCAGCTGTTGTGGGCATTTGGAGAGCGAACCAGAGAGTGAAAGATCTATCTGCCCTCCAAACAAATTATTTTTTAAAAACAACTGACTAAACCAATTCAACTCCCATCCCATGAAGAATGTTCGTTTCCTCCAGTTTATCCTGCAGAGGAGAGATTGGAAGGTAATAGGGAGTGGATATCTAATAAACTCACAGTCCTGCTCAAGAACGAATCCCGCACATCTTAGAGGGAGCAGATTCATCCCCAACTGCCCCTTGCTGCTCCTCTGTAGCAGTCCTGGCCGGGGTGTAGTCCTGGTTCTCGGACACAGAGACTGTATCTCACCCTCAACTCCTCTCTCTCCTATCTCCCAAACATATCCCCCCAAAGCTTTTAACTGGTGACCTTGAGGACACAAGAGTAAGGTCTTTGCTCTGTTATTATGTAGTATCGATCAGGTGACATAATCACTTCAGAATGTAAATAATATGTTAGGGTCCAAAGGCTATTTTGAAAAAAAAAATCGATCTATTCATTCAACAGCTACTAATATTGAACTGCTAATAAAACCACACACAGGGACATAAACCAGTAAGCAAGACAAGCTCTGTCTTCAGGGCTCCAGCGTTAGAAGAATTTGCTGCTTCTCACTGTCTTAACCTTATCAGGCTTAGTGCCTTTTCTTTTTTCACTTCTGAAAACAGTTTGGGAATCTTAGAAATTGTTTCTATAACATGAGAAAAAAAAACAGGGAAAATACCTCAATCTCCTATGTCTTTCCTTCAAGCTTAAAATGTGTTCTGCTTCTTGAGACATTGGTTGCTATGATAACACTCGGACTTTTTAAAAACACCACCGTCCAGCTGTGTGGGAGACAGAAGTGACTTTGCCCTACAGGCTGGAGTTTCAGACACCACTTCCTCCAGTCTGCATAGTTCCTACTCCACTTAATTAAACAGCTCAGGGAGACAGGAGCCTCTACAGTCCCAGGGACTCAAGCATCAGAAATATGGAAATTTAAAAGTGAAAATTAGGTCCGGTGCTGTGGCACTGGTTTGAGTCCCAAGTCCCGCCTGTTCCACTTCCAATCCAGCTCCCTGCTAATGTGCCTGGGAAAGCAATGGAAGAAGGCTCAAATCAACAGGCCCCTGCACCCACCCAGAAGAAGCTCCTGGCTCCTGGCTTCAGCCTGGCCCAGCCCTGGCCTTGTGGCCATTTGGGTACTGAACTAGCAGATGGAAGATCTCTCTGTCTCTTCCTCTCTCTCTGTGACTCTGCCTTTCAATAAATAAAATAAATCTTTCTTTCACATAAATAAATAAATCTTTTAAAAAAAGGTGAAAATTAAAAGTGACCAGAAATTATTAGCAGATTCAATACTCTTATGTATTGATCCGTAGATTCACAGCAATCCAAGTAAAAATCCCAATAAACTATTTTTATAGAGATTGACAGGCTGCCGGCGCCGCGGCTCACTAGGCTAATCCTCCGCCTAGCGGCGCCGGCACACTGGGTTTTGGTCCCGGTCGGGTGCCGGATTCTGTCCCTGTTGCCCCTCTTCCAGTCCAGCTCTCTGCTGTGGCCCGGGAAGGCAGTGGAGGATGGCCCAAGTGCTTGGGCCCTGCACCCCATGGGAGACCAGGAGAAGCACCTGGCTCCTGCCATCAGATCAGCGCGGTGCGCCGGCCGCAGCGCACCAGCCTTGGTGGCCATTGGAGGGTGAACCAACGGCAAAGGAAGACCTTTCTCTCTGTCTCTCTCTCTCACTGTCCACTCTGCCTGTCAAAAAAAAAAAAAAAAAAAAAACACCCGAAGAAAAAGGAAGAAAGAAATTGACAGGCCAATTAAAATTCATATGGAAATGCAAAAGATACACAGCAGATAAAACGATTTTCAAAAAGAAGAACAAGAACAAGTTGCATGGCTACTTGGTTCCAAAACTTACTGTTCCCAAACTTACTTGGTTCCAAAACTACAGGCATCCAAGAATGTGGCAATGACAAAGGACAAACACAGAGGTCAATGGAGGAGTCAGTGTTGCCATGCAGTTGGTTAAGCCGCTGCCTGCAACACCAGGTATCCCGTATGAGCACCGGTTCAAGTCCTGGCTGTTCCACTGCCAATCCAGCTCCTGCTATTGTGCCTGAGAAAGCAGCAGAGGATGGCCCAAGTCCTTGGGCTCCTGCCACCCACATGGGAGACACAGTTGGAGTTCCATGCTCATGGCTTCAGCCAGGCCCAAACCAGGCTGTTGCAGCCACTTGGGGAATGAGCCAGAGGACAGAAGATCTCTCTCTAATTCTGCATTTCAAATAAATAAATCAATGGAACAAGCCAGGAGGTCCTGAAATAGGAGGGACTTCAAAAAGCTCATGGAAAAGGCTACTAAAAACAAGTTGATTCTGGTGCAAAACAATTTTCCAACAGTATATACTTGGGGTCTTCAAAAGTTCATGAAAGGGGTGGCAGTGTGACAGCAGTTATGACACCACTTGGGACACCTATATTCTATATTGGAATCCTGGGTTTGAGTTCCAGCTCCACTTTTGATTCCAGTTTCTTAACCCTCAATAGCCAAGGCTGGGTTGGGCCACAGCTCAAAGCCAGGAACTAAATAAAAGTCTCCCACTAGGGTTTCAGGAATTCACCACTGCCTCCCAGGGTCTGCATTAGCAGGAAGCTTAAGTCAGGAGCCAGACATCAAACCCAAGCACTCTGACGTGGGGTACAGGCAACCTAACTATTAGGCTAAACACCAGTCCCTATTTGTGAATATTTAGCTTTATTCTCAACCCCTAAAAGCTATAAAAAACTCAAATATCCTTCCCTGGTGAATGGATAAACTAACATGAAATAACATTGAGCAGTTAAAAGTGTCAGAGACAAAATTACAACAATTGAAAGACCTTAATTGGCTTTTTATGCAATTCTAGAAATGGGCAGCCCTTCACTCCATGATGTTCCAGGTGACAGAAATAAAGAACAAGAAGTAGATTGGTCACTCAAAATTACTTTCCTTCTAAGGCAGAACATGGAGAAAGAACAACAGGGAAACAAATGATTGGTTAATATCAGGTTACTTCCTGGTATTTTTTTTTCCTTGGTAAGGATCAAAGCACATGGGCTTCATTATCACACTGACCTGCACTGGCCTGTTTGGAAAATGTGGCTATTCCGTCTCTTTTCCAATTTGTCAGAAGGCCAGGGAACTGAGTTTCTTTGGGTAACATGGGACTTCAACATAAATGATTTTTAGCCTGGTCTGTTGGGGCCTTTCACAATTTTATTTAACAAAGTAAAGAACCATTGACACCCCTAAAAACATCTGGAACCCAGGTGTTTAAAGTTACAAAAGTCAGGCTATTTAGTATGGTGGTCCATTTATTTGTCTCTCTGGAAAAGGCAAAACTGTAGGGATGGAGGGTAGGATGAGGAAATTTTGTGGGCCAACAGAACATTCTGTAGCTCGACTAATGGTAATTCAGTAACTACATGCATTTGTCAAACTCCCAACTGGACACCAAAAAGTGAATTTTATTCTGTGTAAATAGAAAACTTCATTTCAAACATGAAGGAAAGGTGGTTTCACATGAAATTATTTTTTCTTCTTTTAAGCTTTAAAATTCTAGATAGGACAAGAAATAGTAAAATAATTCTGCTTAGCAAACTCACAGGACACTCAGCATGGAAACATGGCTGTAATTGTTGGTCTGTGTGTCCTTAGATTCTGTTGGGGGGGGGGCATCATTTCACACAGGGACAGTGGTATTCTTGATGCTGTGGCGACTGCTCCTCTCATGGCCTGTCACTCCTTAAGAAGGAGCAGAGGGCTCAGCGGGAAGCATGCCTGACCAACGGCAACCCCTGATCCTTAACTGCCTCCTCATCAAACTCTTCCATATCGAGCCAATATTTCCCCTGCACTAAATCAGCCCAGGGCCAGGACTAGAGAGCCAGAGACAACCCCCATGACCCAGAGTATGCAGCAGTTATTCAAACCAGCCAGTCCTGAACTGCTGACTTTGCCTTTCCCTTGGAAACCCCAATGGCCTAGACTTTCCCCTCACTCCTGCTCCTGACCTGCTGACCGCTCCTGGTACTTCCCCTGTGACCCTGGGTGGCATGCAGGGACCCTCCTCTGGAATCTGTGAGTTTAGTAAACTCCTTCCTCCCAAGCTCACTCTATTTCCTCCTGTGGCCATACCCACTCCACCACACCTTCTCCAACGTGAAGATTCTTGGAACCATTGTTACGGATTCAGTATGTATAGCATTTACTCATTTTCTACATATATTTATGCTCTTATCTAGAATTGCCTAAAGTTGTGCTTTCAAGGAGAAATATAATTTTTTAATAAAACAAGCATTTCTTCTGTTATATCACAAAATCTATTTTAAGGAACTGATCTTCATGCCCTTGCCTCTTGAGGAATTTTGCAAGACTGCCTTAGCAACTTCAATAAACAGTTGTGTTAAGATTAAGATCACAGATCCTCCTGGTCAGCCAGCAGCACTCAGAAACCATTTACTGTATCAAAGAACCCCTCTCCTTGGGCAAAGCACAGAGAGGCTGGGCCACTTGACTACAATCACATCCATGGCCCACCTGGTTCTCACAGCACTCAAAGTGAGTAGGTCATCATAACAAAGGTCTTCAAAAACTTCATGGAAAACATGTATTATGAAACAATTACACATGAATTTCATTTCTTTAACCAAAATAAACTTATCTAGGGTAGCAATCAGCCTAGCGGTTAACACACCTGTGTCCCACATCAGTACCTGGGTCCCTGGGTCCCTGGGTTCATTGTCCAGGCTGCTCCTGAGCATCCTGCTCATCAGTAGTGACAACTCAAGTGACTGGGACCTTGTCACCCAGGTGGGAAACATAGATTGAGTTCCCTTCCCAACCACCAGCTTCAGCCATAGCTGCAACCATTTGGATATTTGCAGAGTGTGCTAACAGAAGGGACGTTTCTCTCTGCCTCTCAGAGTTTTTAATGAAAAGAAAATAAACATATCTTTCAATTCAATTTTCCACAAACTTTTTGAAGTACCATCATATGAGACCAGAAAACAAGGAAGTATTTAAAAATAAAAAAAGAGTCATGTCAAAAGAGCACAGAAGCCAGCTTGAAAGAGCTTCCACTAGCCAAACCTGGGATAATTTGAATATTAAAATTATTAAGAAAAGCAATGAATTATAAATCACTGAATAAATAAGAATCTACAATGATAGCAGACAAACAGGAGAGAAGGGAAAACCCTAGTTGAAGTGGAATACAAACTTCTTATTAGTAAATGTTAAGAAAGTACTAGAGTTGGAAAAGCATTATCTTGCCACCAATTATAATAAAGCTTGCTTCAGGCAAATATCATCAATAGATATTCAGAGAGAACTTTTGTAATCCCTGCATAGCTTTTCATAAAAGCTTGAAAACCTGCCATGTGCATGGATTTCTCAATTTTTGTACCATGGCTGACATTGTGGCACACTGGGTTAAACTGCCACCTGGACAATGATGCCAGCAACCCATATGGGCACCAGTTAAAGTCCCAGCTGCTCCACTTCTGATCCAGCTCCCTGCTAATGCACATATGAAAATGGCAAAATATGGCCTAAGTGTTTGGCCCCTGCCATTCACATGGGGGACTTGCATGGAGTTCTAGGCTCCTGGATTTGCCCTGATCCTGTCCCTGCTATTGTAGCCTTTGGGGGTTGAACCAGCAGATGGAAGAGCTGTATCTCTCCCCTTCTCTCTGTAATTCTGCCTTTCAAATAAATAAATATTCTGAAAAATGTTTGCTCCAAAATAAACATATTCTTTTAATTGTCTTTCCACCAAGTTTTTGAAAAGTGTTCTTGCATGCGTACAGGTGTATGTACACATAGGATACATGTATAGGATCCAGCCCACAAGCAGGTAGGTATAATCTGTTGTCATGTCTTTAATATCCTTTAATTTGAAACATTTCATAGTCTTTATCTTTTAAGACATTAATAGACTTGTGTGTATTATATATGTATATATATGGAGAGAAGCAAATAATAAACAATAAATCAAATGAAAGTAAAATGTTAACAAAGGGTAAGTCAAATCTGGGTAGAGAGCATATGATGTTCTTTGTACTCTTCTTATTCTTGCAACTTTTTTGTGACTTAGAAATTATTTTCAAGTAAACATTTAAACCCTCAAAGTATAAAGTAGAAACTGTTCTGTTTCACTATAAATGTCTTATCTATTTTTAAATTTTTCATTTTAATTGAGATATAACTTACATAAGTAAAATGCATAGATTTTAAATCAGTTAGCTTTGGTAAAGGTATAAAAAAACGTAGCAGCACCTAATCAAGATACAGAGCGTTTCCCAGATTGTTTCCTTGTAGCTCCTTCCCATCAGTCTCCACAACCATTCACTCCAAACAGCAGCCACTGTTCTGATTTTCTATGGCAGCTTAGTTTTACATATTCTTGAGCTGTATGTGAAAGGAACTGTAAAGTACTCTTTTGTATCTAGCTTCTTCACCTCAAGAGAATATTTCTGAGATGCACCTATGTAGTTGTACCTATCAGTACTTCCCTCCTTTCAACTGCTTAATATTATTCCACCATATGACTATAACAGTTTCTTTTTTTTTATTTATTTTTTTATTTTTTTGACAGGCAGAGTGGACAGTGAGAGAGAGAGACAGAGAGAAAGGTCTTCCTTTGCCGTTGGTTCACCCTCCAATGGCCGCCGCGGCCGGCGCGCTGCGGCCAGCGCACCGCGCTGATCCGATGGCAGGAGCCAGGAGCCAGGTGCTTTTCCTGGTCTCCCATGGGGTGCAGGGCCCAAGCACCTGGGCCATCCTCCACTGCACTCCCTGGCCACAGCAGAGAGCTGGCCTGGAAGAGGGGCAACCGGTCTTTTTGTTTTGTTTTGTTTTGGACAGGCAGAGTTAGACAGTGAGAGAGAGAGAGAGACAGAGACAGAGAGAAAGGTCTTCCTTTTCCATTGGTTCACCCCCCAAATGGCCACCACGGCCGGCACGCTGCACCAATCCGAAGCCAGGAGCCAGGTGCTTCCTCCTGGTCCCCAACATGGGTGCAGGGCCCAAGCACTTGGACCATCCTCCACTGCACTCCCGGGCCACAGCAGAGAGCTGGACTGGAAGAGGGGCAACCGGGACAGAATCTAGAGAGTATTTTTGTGGGCATTTATTTTTATTTCTGGGTCCTAGGATATATTTATTTTTAAAGAGGATTACCAATTGTTTCCAGCGTAACAATTCCTTACTACTTTATTGGCTGCAAATATTTCATTTTCATTGATTAGATAGGTCATAATTTATTTATCAAGTTGTCCACTAACAGACACTAAGTTCTTCCCAAGCTTTTGCTAATACAAACAATTTAGTAATGAGTACCATTGTCCACGCAGTTTTGTATATGTATTTCTAAGAATATTTATATGAGAGTTAGGTGAAACAGCATGTATATTTTCATTTTCTACAAATACTGAAAATTAATCTTTCATCTTGTGTCACCAACTTCATGCATAACAGCAAAGTCTCACAAAGAGATGTATTTTTCCACACTTCTTTCCCAAAGTTATAGGTAAAATTGATATTTTTGTTTTTCTCTCTTCAGTATTACATGTTGGCTTATAGTTTTACTCTATAGTTTTGTATGTTTATGTCATGTCCACATTCCTGAACAATCTATTTTGCTCTTTCAATCTCTGGAGTCATAAACATCACTGCCCAACTTTTGAAAGCCTTCACTGGATCCCCATAGCCTAATGAATACAATTCAGACACTTTATGCTTACCCAGAACATCTATTCCATGTTTCCTGTGCCTTTTCTTCCAAATCATTATACTTTATTTTTTTTAATCTTTTGAAAATTTATTTATTTATTTGAAAGGTACAGTTACAGAAGCAGAAAGAGAAAGAGAGAGATAGTGAGCCCTCCGCCTGCTGGTTTACTCCCCAAATGGCTGCAAAGGCCAGAGCTGGGCTGATCCGAAGTCAGGAGCCAGGAGCTTCTTCCAGGTCTCCCTTGTGGGTGCAGAGGCCTAAGGGCTTGGACCATCTTCTACTGCCTTTCCAGGCCATATCAAAGAGCTGAACCGGAAGTGGAAAGCCAGGACTAAGACCAGCACCCACATGGGATGCCAGCACTGTACACAGGGGCTTTACCCACTATGCCACTGTGCTAGTCTCTTTCTTTTTTAAAGATTTATTTATTTGAGAGGTAGTGTTACAGGGGCAGGGCAGGGAGTGATCTCCCATCCACTGATTCACTCCCCAAATGACTGCAACATCCGGGGCTGGCCCAGGCCAAAGCTAGGAGCCAGGAACGTCACCCAGGTCTTCCATGTCGGTGGTAGGGGCCCAAATACGTGTGCCATTTTCCACTGCTTTCTCAGGCTCATTAGCAGGGAGTTGGATTGGAAGTGGAACAGCCTGGACTTGAATCCGTGCTTACACGGGATGCTTAACTCACTGTAACACAACACTGGTCCTGGGATCACCCTCTTCAAACTCCGATAAAAGTAGGGCTTTCCATGGACCTCATATATAGCATGCACTTTCTGCCCATGCTCTTCCCTCAGTCCAGAATGGCCTTCTCTCCCTCTCCACTGGCCCTGCCTTTCTTTGAAACCCAGTTCAAATGACATCTTCCTCAGATGCCCCAACCAGAGACAAGAAGGAAGGTCACGCTTACCGGGACTTTCATTTTAAATTCGTCTCGATAGTATTTAATGCCAATTTCAGTGAACGTCCTCTGGATAAAGTGGGACGGGCGGAGGATGAATATGAGCTGCAAGTTTCCTGGAAACGCCACCTGGAAGGATCGTGAAAGGATCAGGGGAGAGAAACGTCACATCCATCATCAGGATGTATTTTGGTCTCCTCTTTCCCAAGATACCAGAAGAAAACATTAGAGCAGATTCCACAGACGCCTAGGACTTTGAATAGATCCGCAGGATTTCAGAGCTCATGGAGACCTTAGAGGTTAGATTATGCAAGCCTTTCTTTAAAAACCAAGCCAAATAAACAAGCCAAAAAAAGTGTTTCTGATTATAAAAGTAATTCATAGGAAAAAATGGGAAATTAATAAATCATACATTAGAAGAAGAAAACCACCTGTGATCTCATAATCATACTTAATCTTTCAACTTACCTACTTATAGGCTGTTTTCTGTTCAAATGTCTTTACCATGGTTTAACTCAAATCTCAGAAATACTTCTCAACACTCCTTTTCATGTAATAATTACCATAAGCTTCTATTCCTGTCATTAAAAAATTCTGTGGAACTATGATTTTTCATGGATGCACAACTTATTTAACCAAATCTTTACTGATAGTTATTTAGAATTTTCAGTATCTTTACTATTCCAAACAATGGTGAAATTAACATCTTTATATTTCTGATCGATTCCTAGAGAATGACTGAGTCAAAGACTAAGTATTCTAAGCCTTCCTGGTACTTATTCTTGCTAAGTTGCTCTCAGAAAGTATTGTCTTCACTTTGAGGCAAAGTCCTGGGAAATGGGATAACAGAGATTCACATAACTACCCATGGCGAATTTAGGAAACTTAGTCTCCCATGGCCCATAGCTTTCCACTCTTCTAGTGGTTTCCAAAGCAATCTTCTAAACTATTTATTTTTTAAAAATCTAGTCTCTACTGCAGACTATTCAGATTCACTAGCAGTGGGATTAAGTCCAGGGATCTGCACTGTACACAAGCAGTTGAAGAGATTCTGACAAATGGTCAGATTTTGGGATCCCTGCCCTGTAACAGCTTTTACACATAAAGTGATCAAAGCAATTCTGGAGCAACTTCAGTTCAAATCTTAGATTACTCAAGTATTGTCTAAGGTCCCTGGGAAACCAGAACTCTCTAGAGGCCAGCCCTCTGGAGTACTCATGGAATCAACCAAAGCTGCGGTTATCCCAGAGATAGATCCTGTTGCCAAGATGACCTAAAGGGACACAACAATCCATGCACAAAGGGCAAGGAATGCTCCCATCCTCCAATTCTGAAATGCAGCTCCCATAGAGAAGAATCTTGCAATTTGTTGTGTCAAGATAGAAATCAGTTGAGACACAATTTGTGCACCTGGATGAGGCTCTAAAGCCATCTTGGGAGGGACTCTGTGTGACTGCTTTTGGAAGTGGGCATCAATGAGGCTTCAAAAGTCCCTGTCCTGACTCCTGTCACACATTGCCAACTTCCCACATCCCGTCCTCTTCAGCCAGTCTCAGCTGCCCAGGAGAGTCTGTGCTCAGGGAAAAATGCTGGTGTGGCTGGCCCTGCGGTGTTGCTGCATTGCCGGGTGGATGAATTCAGAGGTCTGTGATCCCTACAGAGGAGGATGCATCCACTTGCTGAAAAGCAACCAGCAGGGACCAAAACCAGATGAATAAGGAAACAGAAGCCCACCCAAGGACATATAATTTAATGCTCAGTGCAAGCACATCTCCAACAAAGCTACTTAAAGATCATTTTGTCTGATTTTGCCAATATCTTTCTACTATGTGAAAAAATAATTTGGATACTAAAGACAATCATCAATCACTTTGTCCCTGAAGCACACACTTGGACAGGGATTTGGGAACAGCAGTTTGTTGGAGAGATGATTCCAGGAAGCATGAATGAGGGAGTAGAGAGGTAGACAACAATGGGCAGAGAACTAATGAATAGATGAGATAGTTATCACTATAGGCAAAAGAGGCTGAGACACTCTGTAGAACCCTCTGTATAGAACACACCTCAGAGTCGTCCCACTGAGGGGTGTGGAAGTGGGGTATATATCCACCAACTCCTGTAACTCAATGGTTGCCAGTTATTCCAGCAACCCCTGCCTGACCCTCTTTGTAGAAGTCATTAGGCCTTGGGGGCCTTGGGAGACTCGGGAAGCCTTCAATACACTCAGGAATTGTCTTCAGGTAGCCGAAAGGGGATACAGAAGTGATGCAACAGCACCTTCTACAAAGACCTTCCCAAAATTTGACATAGGATAATTGCCTTTCCCCCAGGACTCTGATACCAAATAGCTGAACAGACCATTTATATGACTTTTATAACAATAGCACAAAAGTGAATATTTACAGCTATTCGTGTCAAGGATGCCTTTATGGAGCTCCACTTGTCCCTTCGTCTGTCGATAACAATGACGAATCCGATGCTGGCGGCCTCCGCGCTGCAAAGAAGGGTGGTCAGTGTCAGAGATTGGGAGATAGCCATGGCTTCCGCAATCCCACAGCAGACTGCAGCCCACAGCCTCCGTAGGGCTCCAGGCTCCGTTTGGTTCCTTCCCCAACAGGGGAACCAATTTCCTCTCCCAGTCTGGGCCTAGAAAGCCTTAAAGTGCTTTCTACCTCAGACCCTCTCAAAGGCTCTGTTTCACTTGCAAATGTCTGAAACATTGAAGAACTGCCTGTGCACGAAGGAAGACCTGCGCCAGTTGAATACCAGGTAGCCCCAGATGGGCAGATGTCCTCAAGGTTGAGCTCTGCCATCCTTCCATTTGCAAAACGGACATTCATGGAGGTATCAATGTCTTTCCCTGGAAATCAGTTCTAAAGAAGCACTCAGAAACAACATGTAGGGGAGCAGGCATTTAGCCCAGTGGTTAAGATGCGCACTCCTCCCAGCTCCAGCTGGACTCCAGTTTCCTACTGATGCAGGCCCTGGGTTCCTGCCACCTATGTGGGAGACCTGGATTGCAGCCCCGGCTCCTATCTGCACCCCAGGGCATTTGGGGAATGAACTAGCAGATGGGAATGCTCTCTCTCCCTCTCTTTCTCTCTCTTAAATAAATAAATATTTAAAATAAAAAATTTTAAAGAAATAACACATGCTAATGGGAAAAACAACCCCTTTCCAGTACTTGGCCATAAGTAAGCCAACAGACCATTTGCCTGAGAAGAAATCATCTTCATCAAGACCAAAAATAAGTTGTCTGGTCCACTGTTAAGACCCCAGAAAATTCTCACAAAACCCTTTGAAACTAAGTCCTGAAATGAAAATCCTTTCCTTCTCTCCTTTGGGGAGAAGTGTGGCACAGAGGAAAGAACAAGGACTTTGGAGCCTGATGCAAACCTAGTGAGACATTGGGGAGCTCACCCAACCTTTCCGAAATGCAGTCTTCCTCTCTGGAAAATGAGAATGACATCACCAAAAGTAAAGTGGATAAAAACATAAACCCTGGAGTCGATCTGCCAAGATCAGAAATCTGAATTCCACCGCTTACATAAAGCTTTTGGAGGTGAGGGGTACTTAATTCCTATAATTTCTCACACTCTCCAGTTATAAAGCAGGAATAATAAAATAATACCTGTCTATGAGGTTGATATGAGGATTAAATAAGTATTCACAATAGTTCCTCTTTATCTGTGGCTTCACTTTCCACAGCTTCAGCTACCTGCAGTCAATCTCCGTCCAAAAATATTAAATGGAAAATTCCAAAATAAATAATTCTTAAGTTTTCAACTTCATTCCATTCAGAGTACCCTGATGGAATCTCCTGCTGTCCCACGCTGACCTGGCAGGATGTGAATGACTCCTCTGGCCGGCTTACCTGTGCTGTATGTGCCACTTTCCCGTCAGTCACTTAGTAGCCTCAGTTACCAGACTGCAGTAATATTGCAGTTCTTGGGTTAAAGTAACTCTTACTTAATGATGGCCCCAAAGTGCAACATCAGTGATGCTATTCATTCATATATGCCAAAAAGGAACCATAAAGAGCTTCCATTACATGAAAAGGTGAATGTTCTTCACCTAAGGCAAGAAAAAAAAGGATATGCTACAGCTGCTAATATCTATGGTAAGACTGAATAGGGAATTACTCAGTGCTATCCATGGGTTCATACATTATGGGTCTTGGACCATATTCCCCATGGATAAGGGAACTATTCATTATGTATAAATGTTAATACTGATAAGTACTGTTGTTATTTCTTCTGTGCTTGCCATAGAGATTAAAAAAGATCAAGTAAATGCAAAGTAACTAGGCCATATTAAAACTTCAATAACTAATATTTGCTATAATATGGACGTTATCCTAAAAAGTGTCTGTATGTGAATAAGGCAGAAGATCTAAGCAAACTCTTAAAGAAAACATAAGTAGCTGGTCTGAATTAAAAGTCACTGGGTTGGGAAGGGCACTGTGGCACAGTGGGTAAAGCTGTCGCTTGTGAAACTGACATTGCATATGGGTGTCAGTTCAATACCTGGCTACTCCACTTCCAGTCCAGGTCCCTCTAATGTGCTGAGAAAGCAGCAGAAGATGGCTCAAGTACTTAGCCCCCTGAACCCATGTGGGAGGCCCAAAGAAGCTCCTGAGTCCTGGTTTCAGATGGGCCCGGCTCCAGCCATTGCATCCATTTGGGGAGTGAGTCTCTCCCTCCCTCTCTCTCTCCTATCTATCTCTGACTTTCAAATAAATAAATCTTAGAACCAAAGTTCACTGGGGGCCGACGCCACGGCTCACTAGGCTAATCCTCCACCTGTGGCGCCGGCACTCCAGGTTCTAGTCCCAGTTGGGGTGCTGGTTCTGTCCTGGTTGCCCCTCTTCCAGTCCAGCTCTCTGCTGTGGCCCGGGAGTGCAGTAGAGGATGGCCCAGGTCCTTGGGTCCTGCACCCGCATGGGAGACCAGGGGGAGGCACCTGGCTCCTGGCTTCGGATTGGCTCAGCATGCCAGCTGGTGGGTTGTGGCCACTTGGGGGATGAACCAACAGAAAAAGGAAGACCTTTCTCTCTATCTCTGTCTCTCTCTCTCACTGTCTAACTCTGCCTGTCAAAAAAAAAAAAAAAGTTCACTGGGTCAACTCACTATTTTAGACCCATGAAAACAAATGCAAAGAAGCAAAAAAAAAAAAAAAAAGCAACCAACAAACAAAAGAAAAGATAGTCAATAATGTAGGCCTACAGATGTTCCCATTGTTGGCAAACAAAAACTTTTAAAGAACTATGATCAATGTATTAAATAAAACAGAGTAAAATGTAAACAAAATGGATTAAAAGACACATTATTTCAAGAGTATGAATCCACAATGAAGAATCCAGCAAAGCTTCTGGAATTACAAAATATCAGTACCTGATATTAAAAACTCATTGGGTTTTTAACAGCAGGCTGCAGACAGTCTAAAACAAGATAGGTGGAACTGAAAACAGATCAAATGAAAATATTCAAACTGAGACATGGAGATGCGGGAGGAATGGGAAGAACAGAATGCAAAATAGATAAGGGATATGAATAAAAGTTCCAAAAGCAAAGGAGAGAGAACATGTCATAGAAATAATATTTTGGGGGGCTGGCACTGTGGTGTAGTTAGGTTAAGCCTCTGCCTGTGGTGCTGTCATCCCATATGGGCGCCATTAGTTCCTGGCTGCTCCTCTTCTGTTTCAGCTCTCTGCTATGGCCTAAGAACGCAGTGGGAGATGGCCCAAGTCTTTGGGCCCCTGCACCTGCAAGGGAGACCTGGAAGAAGCTCCAGGTTCCAGGCTTCGGATCAGCCCAGTTCTGGCCATTGCAGGCATTTGGGGAGTGAATCAGCAGAAAGAAGGCCTTTCTCTCTGTCCATCCTTCTCTCTCTGTAACTCTGCCTCTCAAATAAATAAATAAATAAATATTTTTTAAAAAAAGAAATAATATTTTTCAAAATGAGTAAAAATTTTCCAAATCTAATAAAAGACATCAATTCACAGGTTCAAAAAGTTCTTCTACAGCCACATAGGATAAGACAAAGAAAACTTGACTGAGGTATACCAGAACTAAACTTCTGAAAATGAAAGGTAAAAAAAAAAAATCTTAAAAGCAGCCAGTGAAAAATAATACATTTTCTTCCAAAGAAAAACACTGAAAAGGAATTACTAACTCCCCAGTTGGCCACAACGGCCGGAGATGTGCTGATCCGAAGCCAGGAGCCAGGAGCATCTTCCGGGTCCTTCATGCGGGTGCAGGGGCCCAAGGATTTGGGCCATCCTCTACTGCTTTCCCAGGCCACAGCAGAGAGCTGGATCAGAAGTGGAGCAGCCGGGTCTCGAACTGGTGCCCATATGGGATGCTGGCACTGCCAGCAGCAGCTTTACCCACTATGCCACAGCACCGGCCTACAATTACTAACTTTTCAACAGAAACCCTGAGAGCCACAATTCAATGAAATGATATATTTGGGGTATTGATCTGAAAAAAATTCTCATTTGGAATTCTATACATATTAAAAGCTCACTTAAAAAATAAGGTAAAGATTTAGTCTACTTTATGTTATAACAGAACACCACAGATTGGGTAATTTATAAAGAAAAGGATTTTATTTCTTATAGCTCTGGAGGCTGAGATGTCCAGCATTAAGGACCCCATATAAGGTGAGGGCCTTCCTGCTATGTGATCCCTTGGTGGAAGATAGAAGAGCAAGAGAGCGTGAGGGAGCAGGCAAACAGGAGGGGGCTGTATTAGCCAGGTTTTCATCACCACATCCAATACCTAAGACAAGCTGCTCACAGGGAAGGGTGTTTCCTCTGACTTTGGTTTTAGAGGTTTATGGGCCCCATTGGTTCAGCTATCCTGTGAGGCTGGAGGTCAGTGGTGGAGCACGTGTGGAGGAACAATCACATGGTCAACAAGGAAGCAGAAAGAGAACAGCTGTGTCCAGCTCAGGCTTACAGAACCAGCCTTCTCACAGGAATCACCTCTGAGCGCATCCCTCCAATTACCTAAGAGTCTCCCACTTGATCCACTTCCTGAACACCATCATTGAACCAGAGACCCCCTTCTAGCACTACCAGCCCATGACTTGGAGGCTAAGCATCTGCTTGAACCAGGAAGGCAAATCCTGTTCAAGCCACAGTAGGGGCCAAACTTGCTTCTATTGCAAGCACAATCAAACCACAACTAACCAGTAATAGTGAAATTAGTCCATTCATGGGACTTCATGAACTTAACTAAGGCTTACCTCACAACACTGCTGCACTGAGTATTATGCTTTCAACACATGAACGTTAGGGGATACAACTAGAGATGAGGAGAATTTACTGCCTGCAGACAAATAGTTCAAGTATATTTTCTAGACTGAGTGAGGTTGGAAACATGAAGGTACAAGAAAAATAAGCAGCCTGAAAATGATAAATATGTGAGTAACGGCTCAGCTGCTGATTACGAAGACTTTGATTCTATCAAAACCAAAACACTGGTCAAA